TTCAGAAAGTTCATAATCTAATGGACAGCTAGGTGGTAAAATGCAACAGTGCTGGACATGGAGACAAGAAGACCTAAGTTCAAATGTTAACTTGTTTCATGATCCTGGACAAGTCACTTATCCTCTCTGTGCTTCAGTGTCTTCATTTGTAAATTGGGGATAATAATAGCACCTATCACCCATGGTTGTGAGGACCATATGGGGTGTGTGTGTGTGTGCGTGTGTGTGTGTGTGTGTGTGTGTGTGCTTTTTTCAAATTAGAGCTGGTACACACAAAGTCCTCTTTGTTGAGGAGGGTGTAGCTTGAATTAGACCATGGTGGGAGGGGAATCAACATCACAATCACAGGGGAGAGGCAGTGCTTTGCAAACCTTAGAACACTGTAAAAATAATAACAGCACTTACATAGAATTTAAAGGTTTACAATATTTTATAACTGCTATCTCATTTGATCCTACAGCAACCCAGGGAGATAAGTGGTATTATTATCACTGTTTTGTAGTAGAAGAAACTGAGGTTAAGTGACTTGCCCAAGGTCAGAGGCCAAATTTGAACTCCCATTTTCCTGACTTCAGGTCCTATACTCTACCTACTGGACCCCTACCTGCCTCCAAATAAATGATAGCTATCATTATTGTAATTTTGATGTTGTTGCTGTTAATGAGTATAAAGTCTGAGGCAGGATTTGAACTCAGGTCCTCCTGACTCCAAGGCTGGAGCTCTATCCACTGTGCCACCTAGCTGCCCCACAAACTACAAATTCTTGGAAATCTACTGTATAGGTGGTAAGGAACCACACAATGTGAAAGCTGGAAGGAATAAGTCTGATATAAATGCAAAGGAGAGATTCCATTTGAAGCCAGAGAAGATTGCAATGGAAGACACAGCATTGGATTTGGGCTATGAAGTTGAAATGAATGGTTTTCAAACAATTCAGAGAAGATAAAGACATGAAAAAGGAAAATAACAAAATGTGGTATCATTGCCAAACCCGTGATCCAAGCAATAACCGCCGTGGGAGCACAGGGGTTCAGATAATTTGTCAGTGAAGGTTTCAAGGAGGAGGTATGACTTACTCTGGCCTTGAAAGATGGGTAAAACCCAAATAAGCACATTCTGCTTTTTTCTCTAGCTGCCTCTGCTTACCCCCTTCTACCCTGGAGTTCCAGATATAGGGGCTATAAGGTGCTGCTATTTTAAAAGACTATGCTTGCTACGTCACTGATATAAAGGCAAGTATCTAAATCTGAGACACTTTAGTAAGTGGCCCACTAGGGGGAGAAGGGCTCCAAAGAAATTCAGCAATCCAGGAAGCTAGAGTTTCACTGAGATTTGAATACAAGCCCTTGTTCTGCCAGTATTTGTATACTCCTAAACAAAATGAGATTTCATTTTCCAGTAATCCTCCAGGAAAACTTTGAAAAAAATCCAAGGAATATGACTATATAGATATATATGATGGAAAGTAGGAAATTAAGAAAAAAATTAAAGAAGCATCATGAAGTGAAAATAACATTGAATTGAGTCAGCAGATGTCTCCAATTCACTGTGTGAACTGAAATCAGTCACTTTGCCTCGCTCTGAGCTAGTTTCTTCATCTTGGAAATGAGGGATTTGGACTAATTCATAGGTCGTAATGCAAGAAAGGACCTTAGAGACCATCTCATCCAGTTCCTTTGTTTTGAAGAAACTGAGGCCTACAGAGGCCTTTGACATAGTCACAGAGGCACCAAGTGGCAGTAGAACTTGGGGTCTCTGACTTCAGAATCCTTGCATTCTTTCCCCCTCCATCATGATCTGACCTGTTTCTATGGTTCCTTCCAACTTTCACATTGTGTGGTTCCTTACCTCCCTTATCTGCTCTACAGTAGATTTCCAAGAATTTGTAGTTTGTGGGGCAGCTAGGTGGCACAGTGGATAGAGCTCCAGCCTTGGAGTCAGGAGGACCTGAGTTCAAATCCAGCCTCAAATCAAACACTTGACACTTACCAGCTGTGTGACCTTGGGCAAGTCACTTAACCCCGATTGCCTCACCAAAAAGAAATTAAAAAAAAAGAATATGTAGTTCGTCACAGCCACAGAGTTGGGACAATGGTAAAGCCACTGATACTTCCTAAATTGTCATCTTGTGTAAGTCAACCTCTCTGGGCCTCTCTTTCCTCATGTTTAAATGAAGGAGCTGCACTTGATGACCTCATGATTGCCTTCCACCTCTACACCTACGGTCCAATAAGGGAGTTCAGAGGCCATCTGGTCCAACCCATAACTGAACAAAAAACTCCACATTTTACCTGATAGTCACCCAGTTTAAGATTTTAAAATAAGAACTATTTACATTGTTTGCAGTAAAATCCCTCATAGACTAGGTCCTCTTTAAGATCTCTCCTAGCTCTGGCAGATTTGGGGCCTGTCAGAGACTTTACTTTCTAAGTAGGGTGTATTTTCATGCCACAGCTGACTTAATAATAAATAGTACAATGTCTTCTTGGTTTACTAGAGAGGCAACTTGTTTCAAATACAAAGAATTTTGGTTTTAGAATCATGGGCCCAAGGTCTGCTCCATACTGACTGTGAACCTCTCAGTTTCTTTATCTATGAAGTGGGTACACCAATACTTGGGTACACAGATTCCAGATCCTAATTTTTAAAAAGAAAATTAAGCACTTGCTTAACACTAGTAAGAATATATCAGTGTGAAGACAGGCTTAAGACCTGCTGAAACAGAGGTCAGTTTGGCTGTTGTAAAAGAAGAAAAGGAAAGATTGCTTGTGTGGCCTTTACTAAGACCTGTGGTTTATAGTGAGGTGAGCTCTGCTCCGGGGGAGAAAGTACCACCTAGAGGAACACAGCAGGAAGTGAGGGGAGAAGGAGCATATGATTCAGTTCCTCTTAGCCCTTCAGGTCACTAACATGGAAAGGCGGTTTGGGAGTGAAGGAAGACAGCTGGAGTATATACTAAGCAACATTCTTTCCTTCAGGTAATCAGTTATATAACAGCTCTGAAAAATTTTTAGGTACCCTCCAAACTTCTATGCCATCACCTTTTCCATTTCTTTCAGAAGCCGCCTTAAGTTCTTCAAATAAATATGTTCACAAATAAAGCTCTTCATAAATAAAATTTTCATAAAGATAAGTTCACAAAGGGGGCTGTCTTAATGTTTATTATACTGTCAAATAATATCTTAGGGATATTAGGTCCCGAGGGGACATGATCGGTCATCCTGTTCATGCCCTGCCCCCAACCAATATCCAGAGAAGTCTGTAAGTCATGCCAAACCTAAGAGTCTATTAATGTGTCCTTTTTGAGGTCGTTCAGAAAACGGACTTTTGCTGCCCAAATACAAATATTCAAATCAATTTTTCAAAATGACACTACATTTTGGATGAACTAAGGCGATTTCAAGCTATTCATTTCCACCACCGCTGAATACAAAATTACTCGTGAACATACATTTCTAATTAATATTGCAATAGTCTAACCCCCTCCCTTCCTCCAACTCTACCAACAGAAGGAATTAATCGAGATCATAAATAATGAGAAATTGCAAATGAGTATCTCAATGCATCCATGTATTTTTAAAATAAACCCCTGAAAGTGAAATTTAATTACCAGGTAAAAAAAAAAATGCAACCAATTTTATAGCCTATCACATTTTGTCTCTCCCTTTTCCCTCTCTCTCCTCTCCCCCCTCCCAACAGTGCTTCTGTTGTGTCAGGTAGTGGCAGTGTTGAGCGCAGTAACCCAGCTCTGAGCACTGCCGTCCCTGGGCCTGATCATTCCCATTTTGACTACTGCAGGACTCCGAGAAAAACAGACACAGAAGAAGGGGGGGGGGGGGGGGGGGGGGGGGGGGGGGGGGGGGGGGCGGAGGACAGAGGGGAACGCGAAAGGAAGGCAGAGCTTACAGATCTGATTTAACAAACTGTTCTTTCTCTCCCCCTTTGAACAACCCCCCCCCTCCCCCCCCCAATTCATCATTTAGGAAGGGGAAAAAAAAACCCGGGGATTTTTTTCCCCATTTAGTCTCATCTATGAAAGGGAAGGAAGCTAAAGGGGAGCGGTTTGCTAAGTAGTACGCTCCAACGTTTCACTCCAAGAGCAAACCCAGGGCTTGGAACAGCACGCTTGATTTTTCTGTAGCCTCCTCTCCAATTCTCTCCCCTCTACCCCCACCCCTTTGCTCACTCCCACCCCCCCCTTTCCCTAAAGCTCCAGGACTTAGAAGAGGCTAAGGAGCAAGAGAAGGAGCGGGCGACAGGCACACACGCGCACACACAAACACACACAGACTGAGAGAGGGAGAGAGGAGGAGGGAGGGAAGGGGGGAGAGAGAGAGAGAGAGAAGAGAGCGAGAGGAGAGAGAGAGAGAAGAGAGCGAGAGGAGAGAGGCAAAGGGGGGGTGGGGGTGGGGGTGGGGGGAGGTGGATCGGTGAGCAATGGAGCAACAGCGGCAGCGGCAGCAGCAGCACTAGCAATCGCCGGCGAGGGAGAGAGAGGAGAGAGAGCAGAGGAGGGGAGAGGAGAGGAGAGGAGAGGAGAGAAAAGCTTCGGCGCTGATTAAACTGCAGAGATCAGCAAAACCTCTTTCGCTCTCTGTGCACCGCCTTCCGCAAGCCAAAAAAAGGGGGAAGAACATTTTTTTTTCAAGAAAATCAAATCAATTCTACCATTAAGGAAAAATATTGCATTGATCAGAGAGACTGGAATATTTTTTTTTAAATGGGCTCCTGCTAAAATTAGCCCAGACTGCTGTGTGTGTGTAAGTGTGTGTGGTGAGTGTGTGTGAATTTGATTACTCCAGGACTCCTCAAGCTCCGGAGACGCCATTTTCCCCCTTGATATCTCTCTCTATAAATCTATCGAGCGGAGCTGGGCAGCGTCGGGAAGCCGCCGCGGCGCTGGGCTGCGGGGCTCGGGGGCTCCGGGGGCTCCGCGCTCGCCGCCGCCGCCGCCGCCGCCGCCGCCGCCTCTATGCGCTTTCTGCCCCCCTCCTCCTGCGCCCCCCGTGCGTGTGTAGCCCGCCCGCGGCTCCCTGTTTGACAGATGGTTATCGCGATGGAGTTGCCGCAACAGCACCTTTGGGGGCTCGGGCGAGCGATTGAAACCGGGATCTAAAAGCCGAGAGACAGAGAGACAGAGAGGAGGAAGATCGAGCCGAGGCGACAGCCCCCCTCCCGCGACGCGCTGGCCTTTGGGATATGGGTTAGTAAATACCATCGACCTTGAAAAACAAAAAAACAAAAAACAAAACAAAACAAAACAAAAAAGCAAAACCCTCGGAGCGGGGAGAGGAATCCTGAAACCATCGCTCGGGATTCCAGGGGTGTTCGCCTGAGAAGTGATTTGCCTGAAAAGGATGTGAATAAGGAGTAGGATTATTATTATTTTTTTTCCAGCATGCAAAAGTTAATGTCGCCTCGGTGGTGGTGGTGGGGGGGGGTGTTGCCGTTGCACTAGGTTAGGGGCGGCGGTGGACAGCGGGATCTGGTCTTGGCCAGGAGGGTTGGGGTGGGGGACGCGATTCTTGCGGGATCTTGGGGGTGGGGAGCAGTGCTGGGCTCCATTGGAGTGGCTCGGTGGCGGTGGAAGGGTCAGGCTTGGCGGGTTGGGAGCTTTTTGAGTTTTGCATAATCTGGTTTCTCTCCCGCCCCCCCCTCCTTTTTTTCCACCCAACCTCGGTCGTGCTGCCTGCTGATGGTGGCTGGCGGGTTTGGTGTGGGTTGGGGTGAACTCAGAAGAAGGGGGGGAGGGAGCTCAGAAGGGGGTAGGAAGGAGGTAGGATTTTTTTCCCCTTTTTCTCCCCCCCCTTTGTAACTTGCAGGTTAAGTGGAGCTAGCGAGCTACATTGTAACCTAGTTGTTTTTTTGGGGGGGGCCGTGTGTGTGTAATATATGAGAATCTAACGTGTCTTTAATAGAAAGAAGAATCAGGGAAGATGTGGTCCAGTTCTCTAAGGTTGGTGTGTGGTTGTGTATGTGTATTAGTGTCTTTCTCTTCAAATCCCATTGAGTGGATTTACGTTTGTTTCTCCCTTTTTTTCATTTCCTTTGACACTGAAAGGACAGGCATTCCCTAAAAACAGCAATTTGCTATAATAAACTCTGGGTTTGTGCCTGTGAGGAGATAGAGAGCAAGAGAGAATGCTCCGAAATTAATGGCAGAATTATCCCTTCTGTGATTTTCATAAGGAAACAACTGACCAAGAGAAACCTCCCTCTCATTTAAAAAAATGTATATATTTAGATACCTCTGCTGTTTGGCTAAAATAATCTTTTAGATGCTTCCTATAGACATGAGTTCGTTAAACTGGTCATGCAGATATTTTAAAGAATGATGATAACGGTGATGATGGTTTTTGGGTTGTGTCTATGGTGGGGAGAAGGATTGTTTAGAAATCTCTGTTCCATGCAATGTTGGTTCTTTAAATGAAGTTACTGCTGAAATGCTGCTTTCCAAAAAACAAACCCACCAAAAAACCAAACCAAACCACTGGAACCCTCCCCTCCCCCCAGCTCCATAGTCGGATTCGAAGTGGAAATATTTTCATTGGAGATCTTAAAGTTTGCTTGATCCGTAGTAGAAGATGTGTCTTGCTTACGGTACCTTAGCCTATTGCCTCCGGGGTTTTTCCTATTGCCCCCTGATGTAGCGTTTATTCTTTACATGTGTCTCTGTGTGATTCCGAGTGTGCATGATATCTGTCTAAAAAGGCAGTTGAGAGAAAGATTTCCGATTCGTTTCCGCTTCAAATAAACTCTACTGATAATCTCATGGTTGACGTCTAATGCTAAAAGGGCAATTTGTGTGTCTTCTTATCCCTAGAGAAACTCTCCCCAAAAGAGCAATTTATTCTTAGGTGGATAGTAATCCTCCGCCCTCCCCCCCCCAGCTCTCATGCCTTTTTTTCCCCCCGAAAGTTCTGGGGTGGGAAATCCAGAGTCTGTAGGAAATGTCAAAATTGTCCCCTAGCCTTCCCAAGCTTTCCCTTCCCTTCCCCTTCTTCCCTGTTTTCTCCCTCTCATTTTTCTGTGGGTTTATGCTAAGGTAGTTCTGAAAAGGAAGTTTCCAGGAAACAACTTGTCAGTTTTAGGCTCACCCATCCCCATTCTTTTCTCAGGTTTTCTGTCAAACAGTTAAATTTGATCTGAGGAGACCCTCCTCCTCCTCTTTATTTGAAATGTACAAGTGTGGGATGTGACAGAAGGTTGATGGAAAGTTATATCTGAGAAACTGGTACTCCATTATGGATGGAGAGGGCAGAGTCCACTTTGCCTCTTGGAGTTAGAGGTTTGGCACCAGATGGAGAAGGGTAACTAAAGGGTGAATGAAGGATGAGGGTGTGTGGCTGAGGGGAGGGGACCTGGGTCAGTAGCACTTTAGAAATGTAGCTGGTGCTTTTATAAGTCCCTGGTCTATTTCTCCCTTTCTCCCCCTCCTTTCCTCCATTTCTCTGACCCTTAAATTCCCAGAGAGGTGAAACACATCTTTCTTATATAGACAGCTTGGGATACTTTGAAGAGAGAGAGAGAGAGAGAGAGAGAGAGAGAGAGAGAGAGAGAGAGA